TTCCTATTCATGATTCAAGGACTTTCTTTTCCCCCTAGAGATAAGAGTTATGCAATTTGGGAGTCTTTTAGATAGACCCACTGAAGGGGTACTCCAATTGCCTCCCTGTTCAGCACAGAAGAAGCCAGAGCAGTCTGTGTCCAGATTCCCTATTGGCAATTTGGGTAACCTCTTCAGAGGATAGTGTGCTAAGAATAGGAGATAGGAATTGGCTATGCAGCTAGGGTAAAGACCCCAAAGAAAAGTAGCCAGTTTCTTGGCTAAAACGCACAATGGCCTTGGGCCTCTTATCAATATACTCCGTTCAAAAGGCCAAAAAATGTCAAAAATATTTGGGAGCTTTAATCTAATCCTTAAAAGATTTTAGGGTTACCTCTTCAGAGTGGGAAATGTTAGAGTAGCCAAAAGCCCCATTTAAAAAAAAAATCAAAGAAGAAAGAATACATGAAGTTATCAAAAAAAAGTGATAATTGGCCGGGCGTGGTGGCGCACACCTTTAATCCCAGCACTCGGGAGGCAGAGGGAGGCAGATCTCTGAGTTCAAGGCCAGCCTGGTCTACAAAGTGAGTTCCAGGCCAGCTGGGGCTACAGGGAGACCCTGTCTCAAAAAGACCAAAAAAAAAGAAATAAGTGATGGGGAAATATGGGAGGAGTTTAGAGGGGAGGGAGTGGACATGGGTTTGATCAAAACACCTTCTATGCATGTATGAAATTCTCAATAAATTATTTCAAAAGTAAAAAAGAAAAATAATAAATAAAATATATTTTTTTAAATAATAAATCTTCTTCAAAAAGGAGAACTAGAGAGATGGCTCAGTGGTTAAGAGCACTGGCTGCTCTTACAGAAGACTCAGGTTCAGTTCCAGCACTGACATGGTGATTAACAACCATCCATAGCTCCAATTCCAGGTGGATCTAGTGACCTCTTTCAGCCTTCAAAGACATCATACACACTTATTTACAGGCAAAATACTCATACATGTAAAATGAAAATTAATTAATTAATTAATTAAAAAAGAGTGCCTTTAGAGAAGCATGTGGCCTAAGTTCTTATTCCGTTCTCACCCTGGGACAGTCAACTCAACTACTCGAAGCCTCAGCTTTTCCAAACAGAAAATAGGGAAATTGTCCCTACCTATGTGTGTGTGTGGGGGGGGGCGGGAATGTGTGAGGGAAGTCATATATGGCTCCTGAGCTTTGCAGTTGGTTTTGAAAAATCCCAAAGGGCATTTATGGAGCAGATGATCTGGAAACAACAGAAGCTGCTGAGTAGACTGGCCTCCCTTGTCTTGAGATCTCTGAGCACCTCAAGATTTGTGGCTATTACCGAGGGTCTGAGTTATCTGACCATGTGCTCTTGGGCTTTTCTAATCATTGCCCCTAAGGGAAACTTTAAGCAACCACTTATTATTGTGGCCTGTTGGAGCTGGGACTGTATGTAGCTCAGTGGCATGGAATTGTAGCTTCTTTTAGAGGTCGGGTCCCAAAGCTCAGTCCATTCGAGGATGTCAAGGAAAGAGGAGTGGATGGGCTGGAGAGATGACTCAGCGATTAAGAGCACTGGCTGCTCTTGCCGAGGACCCCGGGTTCAGTTCTCAGCACCCACATGGTGGCTAACAACTGTCCTAACTCCAGTTCTATGGGATCCGATGCCCTCTTTTGTCCTCCTTGAGTGTTGCACAACACAAGTGCACTTAGATACATGCAGGCAAAATGCTCATACACATAAAATAAAAATAAATATTTAAAATAAATGTAACAAAGATATTGGCCACGGGGGAAAGCCATTTGAATAGTTTAGACCTTAGAGAGTAGCAGTGGTACAGAACTTGCCTAACATGAGTGAGACCCAGGATTTAATACTCAGCACACACACGCAGTTTATTTTACCTTCAATAGAGAGGTTATCCCTGAACCTTGAGGTGGGCTCCTTTTCTACTTTATCTTCCACTCTCCTGTTACCCTCCCTCCTGCTACATGCACCCCAAAAGAAAAAAGAATTCCTTGAATGACTGAATATGGCTTTTTTTTTTTTTTTTTAACAGTCTCACTACACAACCCAGGCTATTCTGGAACTCAAGATCCTCCTAGTCCCTGGATTACAGGCCTATACCAGCCTCCAGGGCTACATTAAGCTTCTTCCTACCCTGTCCTCTAACTGGAGTCTGGCACCTCTGTGGGGCTGTTTGCCTCTTGAGGGCTGAGGTGTAACCCAGCTACAGCATCAGCTCCACTGAAGGGAGAGGATCACTCTCCAAATCCAGAGCACTCTGCACTAAAGTAATGTTTCTATCGTAGAAGCTTTGAGAGTCCTAAAGAATGTAGGTTGGGGGCTGGAGAGATGGCTCAGCAGTTAAGAACACTGGCTGTTCTTGCAGAAGACCTGGATTCAAATCCCAGAACCCACATGGCAGCTAACAACTGTCTGTAACTCCAGTTCCAGGGGATCTGACAACCTCTTCTGTCCTTCTCAGACGTTACAGAACATGGGTGCACTTACCTACATGCAGGCAATACATGCATACACATAAAAATAATAAAAATATTTAAAAGAATGTGGGTTGGCAGCACTTGGAAGGCAGAGGCAGGCAGATCTCTGTGAGTTCCAGTCTAGCCCAGGGCTACATAGTGAGACCCTATCTTAAAAAATAAAATATAGGGGCTGGAGAGGCTGGAGAGATGGCTCTGTAGTTAAGAACACTGGTTGTTCTTGCAGAAGACCCGGGTTTGAATCCCAGCACCCATGTGGCAGCTAACAACTGTCCATAACTCCAGTTCCAGGGGATTGGATGGCCTCTTCTGTCCTCCAAGGGCATTGCATGACATGGATGCACTTACCTACATGCAGGCAATACACTCATACACATAAAATAATACATTTTTTTAATCTTTTTGAGACAGGGTCTCCCTGTAGCCCCAGCTGTCCTGGCTGGCCTTGAACTCACAGAGATCTACCTGCCTCTGCCTCCCAAGTGCTGGGACTACAGGCATGTGCCACCATACCCGGCAATAAAATATTTTTAAAAAAAGGCTAGGTGTGGTGGCGCACGCCTGTAGTCCCAGCACTTGGAAGGCAGAGGCAGGCGGATCTTTTCGAGTTCAAGGCCAGCCTGGTCTACATAGTGAGTTCCAGGACAGCTGGGGCCACAGGGAGACGCTGTCTCAAAAAAGACAAAAAAAATTAAAAATTAAAAATAAATCTTTGGATTTGAAGTCAGGTTACATTGTCTCTTTGGACAAAAAAGGGTTTTGTTCTTTAGGATAGTGTCAGGCCACACTATCTTTTCCATTTCTTGTTTAGTCCACAATGTAGAAGAAAAGCCTCATCCTTTCCCAAATGTGGCTAATAGCAACTCTTTTCTCTTTCAACAGAATCTTTTTAAGATGGACACAGAAGACTGCAATGGCCGCTCCTCTATGTCTGGTATGCCTCCTGTGTGTTCCATTCCCATGGGCCTGGGAACAGACACTGTCCTGTGGGTCAAGGCAGATAGCCCTGGCACACAGCCTCTACATGACTAAATGTCAGTCACAGTTGACACTCAGTGCTTCGTAGTTCTCAGTAGTAGTATGCAGTTCTCTTGTGGGTCTCCCTGTAGCCCTAGCTGGCCTGGAACGCCCTATATAGACCAGGCTGGCCTTGATCTCACAGAGATCTGCCTGCCTCTGCCCCCTGAGTGCTGGGATTAAAGGTGTGTGCCACCATTGCTGGCTTCCTCTTGTGATTTTATATTCCTAGTGGTGATTCTCGTCCCTAAACGTCTTAGGGGCTGAGGAGATGGAAGGGGGCAAGAGGAGAATAAAAATGGGTGCTGTGAAATGGATGATCTGAAGGAACTAGATGGGAAGAAAATGTGGTCTTTCTCCTATCCTGTGAGGGCACCAGTCAAACATGGAATTCTGCCCTGCTAAGGAGAGTAGACCAGCTTTCTAAAATTTAAAGCCTGCAGGGGGCAAGAACTTATGTGAATGGATAAAGTGGGCTCTAAGTAGGAGAGAAGGGGATGTCAGGAGCTGGAGCACACACATCCCACCACTGTTGGTCAGTGTCCACTGGCCACTGCCATGCAGGAATGTATAGCCAACTTTTCAAGAGAAATCAGAAATCTGATTGACTGACTGACGACTGACTGACTGACTGATTGATTGATTGATTGATTGACAGTGCCTTACTCTGTGGCTCAAGCTGGCCTGGAACTCACTATATGGCCCTAGGCTGATCTCAAACTAGCCTGCCTCAGCTCCCCAAATGCTGAGTTAAAGGCGTATGCTACCATGCTATCCTGTCAAGCAAAGGTCTGATTTTTTTTTTTTTTTTTTTTTTTTTTTTTTTTTGAGACAAGGTATGTAGCCCTATGTAGCCCTAGCCAGCCTGGAACTTACTATGCAGACCAAGCTGGCCTGGATCTTACAAAGATCTTCTAGCCTCTACCTCTCCAGTGCTAGGATTAAAGACATACACTACCATGCCTGGCAGAAGTCTGAATTGTGTATGTGAGTGTGTATGTGTGTGTGTGTGTGTGTGTGTGTGTGTATGAGTGTATTGCCTGCATGTATGTAAGTGCACCTGTATTGTGCAGTGCCCTCAGAGATCAGAAGAGGGTATCAGATTCCCCTGGAACTAGAGTTATAGACAGTTGTTAGCTACCATGTGGGTGCAAGAGCAGCCAGTGCTCTAACTGCTGAGCCATCTCTCCAGTCCCAGAAATCTGCATTTTTTTTCAGTCTTTCTGAGACTGTCTCCCTGTAGCCCCAGCTGCCCTGGAACTCACTATGTAGACCAGGCTGGCCTTGAACTCACAGAGATCCACCTGCCTCTGCCTCCCAAGTGCTGGGATTAAAGATGTGTACCATGCCTGGCTAATAGAAGTCTGAATTTTCTTTTTTTTAGAAGTCTGAATTTTTATGTGAAATAATTACTCAAGCCAGGCCTGATGGTACATGCCAATAATCCCATCACTTGGGAGGCTAAGGCAGAAGGATTGCCATGAATTAGAAGCCAGCCAAGGCTACAGAATGAGACCTTGACTCAAAGGAACAAAAAGAGAGAATAAAATGACTCAGTTGGTTTTTTTTTTTTTTTTTTGAGACAGGGTCTCCCTGTAGCCCCAGCTGTCCTGGAACTCACTATATAGACCAGGCTGGCCTTGAACTCACAGAGATCTTCCTGCCTCTGCCTCCCAAGTGCTGGGACTATAGACATGCACCACCATGCCCAGCTGCCTCAGTATTTTTTGTCTTTTAAAAATATTTGTTTATTTATTTTTGAGACAAGATCTTTCAGTAGCCACAGCTGGCCTGGAACTCACTGTGAAAACAAGGCTGGCCTCAATCTCACAGAAATCTACCTCTGCCTCCCAAGTGCTAGAATTAAAGGCGTGTGGCACCACACCAAGCCGATTTTTTAAAAAATATTTTATATATTATTTTTATTTTATGTGTATGAGTGTATTGCCTGCATGCATGTGAGTGCACCTGTGTCAGGCAATGCCGCATGTAGGTCAGAAGAGGGCTTCGGATTCCCGTGGAACTGGAGTTAAGGACGGTTTGTGGCTGCCATGTGGGTGCTGGGAATTGAACCCAGGTCCTCTGCAAGAGCAGTCGGTGCTCTTAACCACTGAGCCATCTCTCCAGCCCCTGAGCTGATTTTTTTATTTTTATGTGTATGAGTAGTTTGCCTGCATGTATGTAAGTGCATCCATGTGTACAATGTCTGTGGAGGCCAGAAGAGGGTATTGTATCCCTTGGAAATGGAGTTATGGACAGTTGTTAGCTGCCATGTGGGTGCTAGAAACCGAACCCAGGTCCTCTGGAAAAGCAGCCATCCTCTTAACCCCTGAGCCATCTCTCCAGCCCCCTTGAGTATTTTAAAAAGTACTCTATGAGGCAAATCAGATTTGTGTATGGCCTGAATTCATCCAGTAGACCACTGGTTTACATCCTTTGAAGACAGGGACAAAGAACCCAGTTCTCATTCTCCTCAATCCACAATGATAACAGATTATAGGCTTTTCAACCTGCCAAATATTTTTACAGAAGAAATCATTACCTGTTATATGAATAGATTTTAGAAGTATCAAAATAATCAGGGTTAATAAAGTACAAAGAAATAAGGGGGAAAGAACTGGGAACATAGCTCAGTTGGCAGGTTGCTTGCCTAACATGCACAAAGCCCTGGGTTTGATCTCTAGCACTACATAAATCAGGTGTGCTGATGCATGCTTGTAATCCCAGCATGAGAAGGAGCTTTAGTCAGCCCATTTTCTGAGACTGTAGAAAGCACCTAAGACATAGTTTAGCCTGGCATGGTGGCCTGTACATTTAATTCTGATACTTGGGAGGCAGAGCAAGTGGATCTCTATGAAATTGAGGCCAATCTGGTCTACATAGTAAGTATCAGGCCAGCTGGAGCTATAGAGAGACCCTGTCTCAAAAGACTTAAAACAAAAAAGACATAGGCCAGTGTGGTGGCTCACACCTTTAATCCCAGTACTTGGGAGACAGAGGCAGGCAGATCTCTGTGAGTTCAAGGCCAGCCTGATCTACATAACAAGTTCCAGGCCAGCTGGGGCTACAGGAAGACTCTGTCTCAAAAAGACCAAAAACAAAACAAAAAAACCACCACCAACAACAAAAAACATGGTCAAGTGTTTTTTTTTTAATATTTTTATTTTATGTGTATGCACGTATTGCCTGCATGTAGGTAAGTGCTCTCCTGCCGTGCAATGCCGGAGGTCAGAAGAGGCTGTCAGATCCCCTGGAACTGGACTTATGGACAGTTGTTAGCTGCCATGTGGGTGCTGGGATTTGAACCTGGGTCTTCTGCAAAAACAGCCAGTGTTCTTAACCACTGAGCCATCTCTCCAGCCCCATGGTCAAGTTTTTAAAAAATATTTTACTACTTTTATTTTATGTGTATGAGTGTAATGGCTGCATATAGGTAGGTGCACCTGTGTCATGCAGTGTCCTCAGAGGTCAGAAAAGGGTGTCAGATTCCCTGGAATTGGAGTTATAGATGGTTGTTAACTGCCATGTGGGTGCTGGGAATTGAACCCAGGTCCTCTCCAAGAGCAGCTGGTACCCTTAATTGCTGAACCATTTCTCCAGCCCCCTCATTTTGTTTGTTTGTTTGTTTCTTTGTTGAGACAAGGGTCTCATGTAGCCCAGGCTGGTCTTATATTCGCTATGTAGCCAAGGCTGGACTTGAACTCCTGATGTGATGTTCCAAATTCTCTTTAACTATTAGAATGCCACGGCCATAAAACAGATATGGTAGCACACACATTTATAATTCTAGTATTTGGAAGGTAAAGCAAGAGGATCATGAGTTCTATGCCATCCTGAATTATACAGCAAAACCCCGCCTCAAGTTTTTCAAACGGGTATGGTGATGCACGCCTTTAGTCCCAGCATTCAGGAGGCAGAGACAGGTGGATCTCTATGAAATCAAGTCCAGCCTGGTGAGTTCCAGGCCAGCTTGGGCTACAGGGAGACCCTGTCCAAAAAATAAAAATAAAGAAAGAAATTTTTAGGGCCGGGCGTGGTGGCACACGCCTCTAATCCCAGCACTCAGGAGGCAGAGGCAGGCAGATCTCTGTGAGTTTGAGGCCAGCCTGGTCTCCATAGCGAATCTAGGCCAGCTGGAGCTACAGGGAGACCTTGTCTCAAAAAGAAAAAAAAAAATTTTTTTTAAATGTTGCATGTGATGACACATGCCTGTAATGCCTGTAATTTCAGCACTTAGGAGGAAGCAGGAGGACTGTGAGTTGGAGGCTAGCCTGCACTGCATAGGAAGACCCTGTCTCAATAAAACAAAAAAATTCAAGTGCCATTATGGAAGAGCTGTAGTTTATTTACTACTCTAAAGTAGAATCAATGAAAGGATTCTTGACATGCACTGAAAGAGATAGTCAAATAGGTGACACACACCTAAGAATCATTGGCACTAGCTGGGTCATGTGCAGAAAGATGTTGAAGGATTGGATCAGGCAGAGATACTTGGTACCTGCCATTATGGTGGACAGAATGCCAGGATCAGGTAGACTGATTCAGTTGAAAAGAGGCCCTTCTGAGGAACCAGCCAGTCCTCCTACCTCCTGTCCAGTCAAGCAGATTAACTATGGAGCTGCAGAAATACTTAGACCCCTGTTTGTGCTGGTGACCATTCAGATGGATGAAGTCTAGTCCCTGCAGTAAGGTAGGCTACTGAGAAACTATGAAGGACTCTGGGAAGTGTCCCACGAGCGCTCTTCAGTAGTGTCTCTGGAGAATGTTGGACACTAGCAAAGTTTTTGAGAGTATTTGCTTCATGATGAAGCCAAGCTTTGCTTGCTTATGGGGCTGACACTGCCTCCATGAGAAGTAACCTCTACACAGTGGTTTCTAAGTGAAAGCAGCCCCAGCTGCTCCTGTGCATTGACAAATCTAGATGTCAGCAGCTACCTCAGAGCAGAAAGGGAGCCTCAAGGCAGGGCTGACATTAGGTCTGCTGAGTGCCCCCTTCAGAGCCAGGCATGGCCAAGATGTGCACCTGAGGCAGCTGAGAACCCATCACTGACCCCTTCTCCTGGGCTGATCCAGAAGCAGAGGGTTGGTCCCAGTGTCTAGCCCTGTAACCACCCTTTCTGAGATCATCACAGCTCTCTGCCTCCAGGAGAGATGGCCTCCCTCCCTGACCACCTGAAGGAGGGAGACTTCTGTTCAAAGGGATTTTTACCACCTCACAGAACCTGATTCAGAAAGTTATTTTCCCTTTCCCTTTTTCCTTCAAAAGGTACAAATGATTCCCATGGGGGAGAAAAGCAGGAGTCAGCTAACTTACAACACAGATTCCCACCCCCCCACAACCCCCACATACACTACAAACAGAAACAGAGTTGCCCAAACCTGGCTCAGGAAAGGAACTGACTGAGCAATGCTTGTCCCACGTATTCTGGTGTGTGAAATGTTTAAGAGAACTTTAGAAGAAAAGGATGCAAGGGTGGGCAGCCCAAAGTTTCATGGCCCCTCCCACCCCCAAATTCTTGGAATCAGAAAATGTAGTCTTCCAAAGTAGGTCAGCTCAGCGGTGAGCAGATCTTCTGGAAGGGAACAGAGCAGGGGCCTTGTCCTGATAGAGGACGAATGCGTCCAGGGCTCTAGCTGCTGGCGCCCCCCCCCCCCCCCCCCCCCCCCCCGCCACAATGGACGAAGCCTGGACCAGTCTTTTCACCCAGGATCTGAAAGAGCCCAGGGCCACAGTACCACTAGTCTGAGATTAGACTATCATGGGCCCTCTCACTGCTGGGAAAAGGGGCTGTCAGTTCTCAGACCTAGAGAGGAGGGGAAGAAGGACAGAGGAGCAGGAGTATGCTGGGGGAGGGGCTTTCTGCCAATCCAGGAGCCTTGAAGCTGCCCTGTGTCGGGGGGGGGGGCCCCATGACCTTTGGGGCCTTGGCTTCCCCAGCTCGCAGAGGCAGAGGATTGAGACCCCACTCCTCCCCAAAGGCCTTTTGCGCTCTCTCCCTCCCTCTCTCTCTCTCTCTCTCTCTCTCTCTCTCTCTCTCTCTCTCTCTCTCTCTCTCTCTCTCTCTCTCTCTCTCTCTCTCTCTCTCTCTCTCTCTCTCTCTCTCTCTCTCTCTCTCTCTCTCTCTCTCTCTCTCTCTCTCTCTCTCTCTCTCTCTCTCTCTCTCTCTCTCTCTCTCTCTCTCTCTCTCTCTCTCTCTCTCTCTCTCTCTCTCTCTCTCTCTCTCTCTCTCTCTCTCTCTCTCTCTCTCTCTCTCTCTCTCTCTCTCTCTCTCTCTCTCTCTCTCTCTCTCTCTCTCTCTCTCTCTCTCTCTCTCTCTCTCTCTCTCTCTCTCTCTCTCTCACACACACACACACACACACACACACACACACACACACACCCTGGGCTGAGCTGTTCTCGCTGGCTGCAGCCGTGGGCCCCTGCTCACCGTGCCGCTGCCACTGCCTGCGAGATGACGGCGGTTCCCCTCACTTCCAGGAATCCACGCTTCCTGGAAGGTGAGTGGCTGGGCTCACCCCTGCCTGCCACCGAGACGCAGACATGCACACACCACCCGCACTCCCTCGCCGTTTCCAAGGCGGCGGCCGCGTTCGCACCCCAGGGTCTCACCGGCAAGGGAAGGATAATGTAAGTTCAGGCAGAAGGCGGCTAGCGGAGGGGGGAAGGGGGCTGTTGGGGCTAGGGAGTCAATTCAGTAACAACTCCCAAGCCTGAAGAGAGGGAGAGGATGGGGGCTGTGTGTGTGTAGCGGGGGAGGGGGCGTTCCTCCTTGCACTTGCGGAGGATGGGAAAGGGTGTTTGGTGTTGCTAAGCAAAGACGGTGACTTGGACGGTGGGAGCTTGTGGTGACATCTTGATTAGGCCTTGGGGACCAGAGCAGCCAGGGGTGGAATGCTGAAACAGGCCTGGGTGGGAATGGGTAGTAGAGGGAACTGAGGTAAGGAAGAAGAGCTTGACAGTAGATGCCTCAGCCTGGAACAGAGATCTGAGGGGCCTCAGCCTCTTCCCCACAATAGAGCCGGGGATGGAGTCTTTCTTTGCTCATACATCCACTGTTCCCTAATAGCAGGCTAGTATCCTGTCACCTGGAGCCCATGGTCAAGAAGGGAAAGCAGGAGGCTGAGGTCCTTTGCAGAAAGGTGCAGAGGCTCGCACAGCTCCAGGCTATTCCCTGGAGACACCCACTCAAGGGATCCAGGAGAGGGCTGGTCTCCTTCAACATGTGAGGCATATTTAGCTTGTGCAGGGCTCCCAGGTTCCTCCCCTCCTGCTTTTCTGCCCTTTCTCCACCTCCCAGTTCCTCTGATGTAAACCTGATGATTTAGCTTTGCCCTCTGGAGGTTCAACAAATCTATGATGACTTTGACCAAGAAAATGTCTCTGAGACCTGAGAAAAGCCTTAATTCTTGGCTTTGACAGTCTGGGATTTCCTGGGAGTCCCAGGCATTTGAAATTCCCTCACTGGGGTTTCTGAGGCTGAGAGAGGAACTGGTGAGTTTCCTAAATCTGACTCCAGTCCCAGTCACCCTCAGGCTAGAAGTCAAAAATCCCTGGAGCCCCTCAAAGACTTTCTCGTCTCTGACAGATTCCTTAGGTTTTAGTCCCATGAAAGTAGACTTGAGCCCATCTTCCTTCTTACCTTTATTTATCCTAGGGACGACACCAGCATCAAAGAGCCTCTGGAATTACTGGTGTGCCCAAAGCTTCTGCTTGCTCTCCTGTTTCCAGCCCTTAATTGGGAGAGCCACAAAGGATGCTTTCCCTCCAATGTCCCCAAACATCCCTTTAAGGTTATTCCCCAAATAGCTAGTTCCTGTCCTAGAGGCAGTCTCAGCCCCCAAAGGACCAGAAGGATTTCCAGGAACCTCACTCATCCTTTTAGGATGGAAGCCTCAGAGTGTCCCCCATTACTAATATCAAGTGATTTAGGACAGGTTGGCGCTAACCTTTGAAAAGAATAAGAAGCTGGGTGTGGTGGTGCATGCCTGTAATCCCAGCACTTGGAAGGTTGAGGCAGGAGGATTGTGGGTGAGTTTCTTACTTAGGGCTACATAACAAGGACCTGTCTCGAAAAAAAAAAAAAAAGGAATAAGAGGATGCCCTTCTCTTTTCAGCCCTTCTAACTGCCTAACCTCAGTAAACCCTACACTCATTGAAAGGGCTTTAAAACTGGGTTTGATCTACAGTCTTAACCCACAGCTCTGAGATGCTCATTTCATGGTTTGTATCTGGTGTTGATTTCAGGCAACTTTTTAAGGAAACCACTGCTCACCTAAGGAGCCTCAGCTAGGAAAACTCAGATTCAAGCCATAAGGCTTTTTCTATAGACAGTGAACAAATTTCCTCAGGCTTTGCTGGGATAGAACGGGGAAATGGGACTTATAGGAGAGGATATGAACGGGAAATGGTCCCAAAGTCCTGAGTGGTTGTTTTCTTCCCACTAACCAAAGCTGGAGAGGGATCCCTCAGGAGGGTGTGTTCCGGATTTCTTGCCTCAGGCCCAAGACTCCAACCATTTTATAATGGAATCTTTATTTTGTGAAAGTAAGTATGTGCATAGCTGGGCAATTGGGTAAAGTTCTAATAGGTGGACTGTAGGGATGAATTTTAGGGTCTCTCTCTTTCTCTCTCTTTCTTTTCCATATTTAGGCCTTGTGTGCATATACCCATGCATGCTCATGTTAGCAGATAATATAGACAGCTGTGATGTTTATCCCAGTAGGTATGTTCTCTTTATGTGTATCTACATATGTGATCTCTGTTTGTGTGTTTATCTATATGTGTTTTTATTTCACTCATTTGTGCAGAAGATTGTGGGGAGGAGGGAATTTTTTAAGACACTCATTTTCAGGTATGTTATCTGATTTTTAAGAACATTATAATTTCAAAACGCATTTTTACAAAGCGATTGGTCAACAAATGAATACATTCAGGATAATTGATGGTTAGCACTCAAGAGAGCATCAGATAGTAAATATCAACTAGAAAGGTTTCTAGAGTCTTCATATTTTTGCTAAATTTAGAAACACAATGAGACCAACTCTCCCCCACTGAGACAGAGACTCCCACTTGGCCAAGTAGTAGTTAAGAATGTGGCACTTACTGTCTGGTCCTACCCCTGCTCCACCACTACCAGCTTAGACAAGTAACCTAACTTCTTTTGTGTCTCTGAATCTGAAAAATTAAAATATTCTAGTACCCATTTCATAAGGTGGTTATGAAGCTTAAAGAAGATGATTTATTCCAAGCACATGGAATAATGCCTGGCACATAGTATACACTCAGTAAATTAGCAACTGCCATTGTTGCTAATATTATCATTAGATTGTAGACAGTTGCAGATGCCCTTCCTGCAGATCCCAAAGTGGCTACTGGGGACTCCAGAGAAAGCCATAGGAACGTTTGGGGTCACCTCCTTGTCAGGACCCTATCCTCTGTTCTTCCCTGGCCCGCCCAGCCCTAGCCCTGCTTCCTGCAGAGTCAGACAGTGATGCTCTTCCCCTCAGGCCTAGATAAAGGTAGGGTAGGTGAGGTCAGGCCTATTGAGCTCACGGAAGTCAAAGTCGGCACTGGGCACCAGGCTGGTGAGGCTACAAGGTGTGGTACTCAGCATACAGTCCTGCCTTGTACCTCGCTATAGACTAAATGTTTGTGAAATTTAACTGATTTTTTTTTTTTTTTTTTTAAGATTAGGTAATGAACTGTAGATGGCTCCAGCCCAGCTTTACCTGCCTTCTGTTCTCTCCTCCAAGGTAGCGGGGACTCATCTCTGGAGAAGGAGTTCCTTGGGGCCCCAGTGGGGCCCTCGGTGAGCACCCCGAACAGCCAGCATTCTTCACCTAGCCGCTCACTCAGTGGTAAGTGTGACCTCCTACCCACTCCTCACACTAGGTGTTTGGCCCTCAATTTGCCTTCTCCTGGCAGCCATTTCCCGTCATCTCCTGGTTTCCTGCTCAGAAACTCTGAAAGCAGGAAGGAGCCCAGCATCTCAGGCTCTCCTGACTTCGAAAAGAGAGTGAATAGCTAGTGCCAGAGTAGGGTAGAACTAAAAGGTGTCTGGGCAGCATTAAGATAGACTCCAAAGAGAAATTCTGGAACTGGAGAAGTAGGGTGGCAAAAATTGTCATAGGTAGAGAGAAGTAGGAAACAGAGTAACAAGTCCTTGCCACCTCCCCATTCCCTCTTCTCCTGCCAGGCAGGGTCCTCCTGATTGCGTCTCCCCACCTGGCCCTAGATCTATGACATTCTCTAAATGGTTGGAATAGCCAGGAATGTAGGTCAGAGCCAGTGCCAAAGCCTTCTCCTTGCTGGCTCCTCCCCTCTGTCCCCTCAGATTTGCAGGGAGAGGCGTAGGGGTTTCAGTCTTACAGGGTGAGAGATAAACCATATCTGTCTTCCAGTTTGACCCTCTCTTTAGTTTACTGTCCCCTTTCAGTCTCTCTAGACTGTTTTCCCACCACTGTTACTTGCTGACTTCCTGCCCAGGGCCAAACCAGACATCTTTCTTAATGACAAAAGAATGGAGGCAAAGGTTCTCCTAAGTCACCTCCTCTACCTCCTCTACCCAATGACAGAAGTCATACTATGTACCCCAGACTTATTCTTGTAAAGCCTATTTGCCTGATGGGTGGGAGAGAAGAAGGCAGGGTTGCTTTGAGTTCTAACAAGACTGTGGAATCACCACCTGGGGTAAGGGGCTAACACCTGTATGTCTCAGGGCTTGCAGATACTCTTCTTGGACTATAGAAGTGTCATTCAAAACTGGGTTTGGTGGCAAACACTTTTAATCCCCGCACTGGGGAAGCAGAGGCAGATGGATCTCTGTGAGATCAAGGCCAGCCTGGTCTACATTCTGAGTTCCAGGCCAGCTGGGGCTACAGGAGGCCCTGTCTGAAAAAAAAAAAAAATCCCAAAACCCCAAAGTGTCATTCTGGCTGGCAGGTGGGTTCCCCCTTTGCCTGTTTCCATCCTAAACAGCAGCCCCTCCCCCTCCTCCAGCCAACTCCATCAAGGTGGAGATGTACAGCGATGAGGAGTCCAGCAGACTGCTGGGGCCAGATGAGCGGCTCCTGGATAAGGATGACAGTGTAATTGTAGAAGACTCATTGTCAGAGCCCTTGGGCTACTGCGATGGGAGTGGGCCAGAGCCTCACTCCCCTGGTGGCATCCGGCTACCCAACGGCAAGCTCAAGTGTGATGTCTGCGGCATGGTCTGTATCGGACCCAATGTGCTCATGGTACACAAGCGCAGCCACACTGGTGAGTAAGCCAAAGGGCTCTGTGGAGGAGTTCTGGGTAGGGCTGGGCTTGGGAGGCAGAGCTGTGCTAGGACATTGGTAGGGAGGGCTGGAGAAGACCTGGAGTGGGATGGCTCAGAAAGGGAAAGGATATTTTCTAACTGACATGTTTTCTAACTAACAAAAAAAGTAAGAGGAGGAGGAGGAAGAGAGAGAGGGAGAGAGAGAGAGAAACAGAATTTGGATTCCCCCAAACACTTGTCCCTCCCTGGCACTTTTCTTTCTTTTTTTTTAAATTTTATTATTTTTATTTTATGTGTATGGGTGTATTGCCTGTATGTAGATAAGTGCACCTGCATTGTGCAATGCCTGCAGAGGTCAGAAGAGGCTGTCGGATCCCCTCAGACTGGAGTTACGGACAGTTGTTAGCTGCCATGTGGGTGCTGGGATTTGAACCCGAGTCTTCTGCAAGAACAACCAGTGTTCTTAACTGCTGAGCCATCTCTCCAGCCCCCCCTCCCTGGCACTTTTCTTCAACTGATGTTATAAAGAAAAACTACTACTTTTCTCAGGATATAGGGAGAGTGAGTGTTGAAGTCAGAAGGAGCCTGGATGCTGCAGAATAGATCAATGGTGAAATGTGTGCTTAGCACGTGTAAGGTGCTAGGGTAGCCCTCCAGCACCAAAAGATGGGAAGGGGGTGGGGCCACCTATAGTCCAACAGGGGCAAAATTCCTGGGCCTTCCCATCTCATAATTAAGGGGAAAAAATGGGGGCAGGGACAAAAGCATCTGCTTACCCTCCTCAGACTTGGGGCTCCTGGGGCAGAGTGGGCTGAAGGGTAACAGTCTTTTGGCATGTTGTTCTAGGTTCTGAATTCCTTTCTTGCCACACAACTCTAATCTACACCTTTCCAGGGTAAGACCACCCCCAGGTGATCTCTATAAAAGCAGGCCTGGTATGTGTGGTACTTACTGCCCCTCAACAGTGTGTCCAAAGAACCTTCCCGTCACCCTTCAGCACCCCTTGCCCCAGGCCTCTGGAACCTGCTCTTTTGCTTGTAGGTGAAAGGCCCTTCCACTGCAACCAGTGTGGTGCCTCCTTCACACAGAAAGGAAACCTGCTGCGCCACATCAAGCTGCACTCTGGGGAGAAGCCCTTCAAATGTCCATTCTGCAACTATGCCTGCCGCCGACGAGATGCACTCACTGGCCACCTTCGCACACACTCAGGTCAGTGACCATCCAGAAGGAGCCGAGAAAGTGGGGCCCTGCACACTCAGAAAATGGGGCTCTAAGACTCCTCTACACCGAGGAGGGGCAATGTCTGTCACTGAGGAGAGGCAAGCACTCATGGAGCACCCACAGAACAGATAAGACCCTGCCTCCCTAACTCCTCCTCTGAGTAGCAAGTCCTATGACGAATTGGGGGTACTCTTTGCTGGGGTATTTACTGCTATACTCTGTGGCAAAGGAGCATGGCTGATGTTTTTGGCTTCTCTCTGACTTTTGTTTTCTAAAGATTATAATGAACCCGGGCATGGTGGTGCATGCCTTTAATGCCAATACTCAGAAGGCAGAGGCAGGCGGATCTCTGTGAGATTGAGGCCAGCCTGGTGTACATAGTGAGTTCTAGGCCAGCTGAGGCTATAGGGAGATTCTGTCTCAAAAAGAACAAAAAAAATTAAAATAAAAAATGTAATGATGTCAACAGTGCATGTGCCCCATCGCCACCACTTCTGAGCCCCATGGGAGGCTCTCTTCCCACTCTCACTTGTCCCAGGCCCCACACTTGTCACCATCTTCACCTACCCCTCTGAATACCAGAGGTCTTGGACAATCACTGTATGTCCTCCCCCTCTACTTCCTAGTGGTTCTTATAAATATCGATGGGCCTCCCAAACTGGAGGAAAGGGAGCCCAAAAGGAGCCCATTTCCAAATATGAAATGAGTGTCCCATTTCTCCTCTCTATTCTGAAAGGTAGTCATTTCCCCATGGGCAGGATCAAGTCCAGAGAATACCCAGGTAGACCACTGTTGGGGAACTGGATTAACAAAAAAATTTTTTTAATTTAATAAAGTTTTATTTTTCCAAACATACAGTCAGTTGAACCTATTTAAACATCTTCACCAGAGCTGGGGCATCTCCACCCTTTGTATTTCTGGTGTAAATTACTTGGGCTCTGTGTTTTGAAACCAGTTTGTTAATTCCTTTACTAAGGAGCTCCTGAAGGACTGCCCTGGCCAGGGAACCTCAAAACTTCAGTCTCTCAGAGACCACAGCTGGGATAATAAGTTTATAGTTGGGAACATCCTTACAGAGTTTGTCATATGTAGCCTTGTCAAACAGGAGCAGGTTGTTGAGCTTGTCCTGAACTTTGCCTTTGGACCACTTCTTTTTGGCCTTGCCCCCAGACTTGTTTGCTGGGTCTTTGTCTCTCTTAGCGGACTTCCTGGTGTCCTTCTTCTCCTTGTCCTTGGGCGGCATGGCAAAGCTCCAAGAGTACTGGTAAGCACTGCAGCCTCGCTAAGATGTTGGACCCAAGATTTTTTAATCCAATCAAGACTATCTGCCAGCACTCAGGAGGCAGAAGCAGGCAGATCTCTGTGAGACTGAGGCCATCCTGGTCTACATAGAGAGTTCCAGGCCACCTGGGGCTATAGGGAGACCCTCTGTGAAAATAAAACAAACAGAAGACTATGTGTAGCTGGGTATGGCTCTGTCTCCTAGCACCTGGGAGGTGGAGGCAGAAGGATCAGGAGTACAAAGCTAGCCTGGGCTACATCAGACCCTGCCTCACAAAAGAAAAGAAATGAAAGACTGTTTTGGGTCAGTAATTGTTGGAATGATTTGAACAAATAGTACTCGTTAGGTATTTTACTAAGTTTTGGACTCTGGGCTTGGATTTGAGAAGAGGCCAAATTCAGAGACTAAAGCTGGCAAGGAATAAGGGAGTTCAGGACTGAGAAAAGGCAAAAGGGGAAGAGGGAAAGAACTAGTGGGGTCTGTCCTTAGAATCTTTCCTGGATGCTTTTTTCTTAAACTCTCCTGGGTAGGACCTAAAGGGACAGAGTAGAGGAAGCATCTTCTACTTCCATCCAAACTTGCCCCAAGTTCTCCCAAGTCATGGGGACGCTTTGTCTCCCCCACCCCCTACACTTTTTTTTGAAGCAGGATCTCATATATCCCAGGCTGACCTGAAACTCCCTACATAGCTGAGCATGGCCCTCAATTTCTGATTCTCCTCTTCCATCTCTTGAGTGCTAGGATTAGAGGTATACACTACCATGCCTGGTTTATGCAGCCCTGGGAATAGAACCCAGGGTTTCCTTCATGCAAGCATTCTACATCCCCCACCCTGAATGTCCCCTTTGGCTGACAAGGAAACTGATGCTATGGGGGGAGGGGGGGTTGGTTATGGGTCATATATGTGGGTCATATAGCTTTCCCCATAGGCAGGATCAAGTCCAGAGAGCACCCAGGTAGACCACTGTTGGGGGACTGGATTACCAAAAATTTTTAATCCAATCAAGACTATCTGCCAGCACTCAGGAGTCAGAGGCAGGCAGATCTCTGTGAGACTGAGGCCAGCCTGGTCCCATTATTCTATAGCCTAGCTGGTCTCCATCAAGATCCTGTGCCAGACATACGTGCTCTTCATTCTCAGGAAAGGGTGGCTCCCCTGCTTTGGTACAAGGATGGTTTGTTTCTTTTTGAAACAGGGTTTCTCTGTAGCCCCAGCTGGCCTTGAACTCACAGAGATCCACCTGCTTCAGCCTCCCAAGTACTGGGACTACAGGCATGCACCACCATGCCCGGCAGCCCCCAGAATTCTTGAAAAGGACAATAGGATAGATTTGAGATGTCTGTCATTCTATAGGAGATTAAGGGGGAAAGCAAACACAAGTGGAGGTCCTATCTCTGTGAGACACTTCCCACACTGTAAGAAACAAAGGGCTAAGAGCTGGAGAGATGGCTCAGTGGTTAAGAGCACTAGTTGCTCTTGCAAAGGACCCAGGTTCAATTCCCAGTGCCCACAAGGCAGCTAACAACCATCCATAACACCAGTTCCAGGGGATCCAGTGCCCTCTTCTGACTTCTGTGGGCATTGCATAACATAGATACACTTATGTACATGTAGGCAATACACTCATACACATAAAATAGAAATAGTAAATAAAAATAATTATTTTATTTTGTTTTTTTTATCTTTTTGAGACAGGGTCTCCCTGTAGCCCTAGCTGGTCTGAAATTCACTATGTAGACCAGGCTGGCCTTGAACTCACAGAGATCCACCTGCCTCTGTCTCCCAAGTGTTGGGATTAAAGGCATGTGCCACCATGCCAGGCTAATAAAATATTTTTTTAAAAAAAAAGAAACAGAGGCCTAGAGAATCATTCCTCTCCCATATGCTAAGCCATTTCCTCAAGGATCTTGGGCAAAGAGGCCCCTGGTGCTCATTTCTTCCCTTAAACACCAGAGTTTATAGACCCAGAGCAAATTGACAAAGGTTGATTTAGTTGCAGCCAAGCATAGACATATGTGGGGGGTGAATAATAGTTACCAATCTCCTAGCAATGCCTCCTGCTCATTAGTAGCAATAAACATGAATATACAATATCTTGTTCCTCTTCCTTTCTTCTTTCCTCTCACAATAAACCATCTCTCAAGGGTTATCCTCAAATGAAGTTACCAAGGCCTGGAACTCACTATGTAGACCAGGCTGGCCTTGAACTCACACAGATTCACCTGCCTCTGCCTCCCAAGTGCTGAGACTACAGTCATGCACTACCACGCCTGGCTATATTACATTTCTTTATAAGATCTTTGTATCACATTCTTTTTTTTTTTCTTTTTTGTCTTTTTGAGACAGGGTCTCCTTGTAGCCCCAGCTGTCCTGGAACTCACTATGTAGACCAGGTTGGCCTCAGACTCACAAAGATCCACCTGCCTCTGCCTCCCAAGTGCTGGGATTAAAGGCATGAGCCACCACACCCCGCACATTCTTTTTTTTTAATATTTTATTTATTATTTTTAGTTTATGTATGCGTGTATTGGCTGCATGTAGGTAAGTGCACCTGTGTCATGCAATGACCTTGGAGGACAGAAGAGGCCATCAGATCCCCTGAAACTGGAGTTACTAACAGTTGTTAGCTGCCATGTGGGTGCTAGGATTTGAACCCAGGTCTTCTGCAAGAACAACCAGTGTTCTTAACCACTGAGCCATCTCTCCAGCCCGGTATCACATTCTTTTTAAAAGAAAAATAAACACAAACTTGTTCTCTTTCTTTCACTCTTCATCTTCTCTGTTCTTTAATTCTTTTTCTCTTTCTTGTCACTGATGGACTTTCTGGTGTTCTTTTGGTGCTTCAGTGTAGAGACAGAAAATGTTATCAAAACCAGACAAGGGATAGAGGTAAAGGTCAAAGAGAGCTGCCCATCCTGCTGGCTGTTCCTCCAGCCCACCAATTTCCCCCAGACCAAAGCAGAGAGTTTGCAAGCAAAAAATCCCCTTTTCTGATAAACAGCTATTACACCCGTCTGCCTCATGGAAAGGTTAAACCACAGTCTGGGCCCCAGACTCTGAGATCCTGGGGTGGGGCTTACCTGCTTACTAGGGACGACGATCCCTAGGCCTTCACTTCCTTTGAACAGCAAGTTGAACATCTAGAAGCCCACTACCAGCCTGAAGCTGTATGCCATGGGGTCCTGTCCCTTCACCGCACGTTGTCCCTCTTTCTCAAATTTGGTTCATCTGTCCTTTGTTATAAGTGGAGTGAGAGAGGGGAAGACAAGGAGAAAAATTCAACTTAGCAAGCTTCTCTCCTCTGCATGCCAGTGTACGTTTGCTCTTGGACGATTCTGCAGCAGGGATACAGGGAGAAGTAACTCTGATGCCGCCTCTGCGCTCTCCTCCACAGTCTCCTCTCCCACAGTGGGCAAACCCTACAAGTGCAACTACTGCGGACGGAGCTACAAACAGCAGAGTACCCTGGAGGAGCACAAGGAGCGGTGTCACAACTACCTACAGAGTCTCAGCACTGAAGCCCAAGCTTTGGCTGGCCAGCCAGGTGGGGCTGTGGGCAGTAGCATGGGGGACCTGAGGGCAGGGTCAGAAGTGCAGGACAAGTGATTCTAGCACCTCTTCCCAACAGGGGCAAGGTACGTAGGATAGGAACGGTCACCTCCAGTGAATCTACCAACACCCATTCCTCACTCCCACAGCTGGTGCCCTATGGCAGGTGGGATGGGGAGATCCAGAGACAGGGGAAGTTTGGATCTACATCTTTAGTCTCAAGGGAGAGCACAAGGAGTATGAGAGCAGTTGTATATGTACTCAAACTACCTGAAGTGTTGCTCAGATGAGTTTTAGGTGGGTAAAGAGCCCAGTTTTCTAGGCATTGGGTATGACCTTGCTGGTTTTCTCCAGGCAAAGGCTGCTAGGCCAATGCCTCTGGAACTCAGCTACCTGCCCCTCCCCCCAGGTGATGAAATGCGTGACCTAGAGATGGTGCCAGACTCCATGCTGCACTCATCATCTGAGCGGCCAACTTTCATTGATCGCTTGGCCAACAGCCTCACCAAACGCAAGCGTTCCACCCCACAGAAGTTTGTAGGTAAGAGTCCAGTTGGAAAGGAGACATCAGCCTTAAGCCACAGCCAAGTGAATCAGGGCTATGATTGCCATCAAACCATAGATGTGGTTTGGAGTTTTTATTTAGGGAAAGAAAGCAGCCTCATTGTCTCTGTAGTGCTCAGACTGTTCCCTCAGACAGAAAGGACAGGAGAGGGAGAGGGAAGACATACATCAAGGCAGAGAGAGGGACATGGTGGTGCACACCTTTACCACCAGCACTTGAGAGGCAGAGGCAGAGGTAGGTGAGGAGGGGAGGAGGATAGTTCAGTTCATAAAGTGTTTGTTTTGCAAGCATGAGAACCTGAGTTTGATCCCAAAACCCACATAAAAACACCAGGCATGGTGGCATGTGCTTATAATCCCAGTGTGGGGTGTCAGTAGAACCCTGGGGTTCTCTGGATAGCCTGCCTAGCCTAATTGGTGAGTTTCAGGCAATCAGGGACCCTGTAGCAGTGGCTGGTGTTCCTGAGAATGACACCTGAGGTTGTCCTCTGACCTCCCATGCATGTGCACATACATGTCCATGCATCCACACACACATGGAACATACACATATGTACATACACACATATAGGCATTAAAAAGAGAAAGAGAGAGTAGAGAGGGGTCAGTATTGAGGACTCTCATGGTAATTATAAGGAGAGGTGGTTGAGGGCTCGAGTTTTCCCAGTTTGAGGAATAACAAGGCCTTTGGTCTGTCTGGGCTCTTAAGCAGCAGGGAAGGAAGTGGACATGTGGTTCCCTGACCTAAAACTGGTATTATCTTGCCGGGTATAGCAGAGGCAGGTAGATCTTTGTGAGTTCGAGGCCAGCCTGGTGGTCTACATAGCGAGTTCCAGGCCAGCTGGGACTACAGAGAGACCCTGTCTCAAAAAGACAAAAACACAAAACCCAAAAAAACCTGGCATGCTCTCTCAGGATCTGAAACTTTATAGATGATGACTGCAGTATTAAAGCCGGGGAAGCTTGCAGTTAGGGACAGGCCCTCCCAGAACACCTGACCCTCAGGGGAAGTAAATGAGGTGTATTAACCAATGTTACCTGGGGCTAGGGATGTGTTAGTGGTAGGCTGTGTGCTTAGTATATGTGAAGCCCTGGGCTTGATTCCCAACACTAAATAATAATAATGATAATGATGGTGTTACATTTAGGCCCCTGGGTAAGAAAACAAGGGAGCAGCACTTGGGAGGGGAGGCAGAGGCAGGTGGATCTCTGTGAGTTCTAGGCCAGTCTGGTCTACACAGCTGGTTCCAGGCCAGCTGGAGCTCCACAGTGAGACCCTGTCTCAAAAAAAAACCCAAGCCAAACCAAAACCACAGCAAAAACAAATACAAATAAAAATAAAACAAAATAAAGAAATGATCCTGGGCAGAACTTAGAACTTCAAACCCAGCCCTGCTGAGATCTTATTCTCTACAGGTGAAAAACAGATGCGCTTCAGCCTCTCAGACCTCCCCTATGATGTGAACTCGGGTGGCTATGAAAAGGATGTGGAGTTGGTGGCACACCATGGCCTGGAGCCTGGCTTTGGAGGTTCTCTAGCCTTTGTGGGTACAGAGCATCTGCGTCCCCTCCGCCTTCCACCCACCAATTGCATCTCAGAACTTACACCTGTCATCAGCTCTGTGTACACCCAGATGCAGCCCCTTCCCAGCAGACTGGAGCTTCCAGGGTCCCGAGAAGCAGGTGAGGGACCCGAGGACCTGGGAGATGGAGGTCCCCTCCTCTATCGGGCTCGAGGCCCTCTGACTGACCCTGGGGCATCCCCTAGCAATGGCTGCCAGGACTCCACAGATACAGAGAGCAACCACGAAGATCGGATTGGTGGGGTGGTATCCCTCCCTCAGGGTCCCCCACCCCAGCCACCTCCCACCATAGTGGTGGGCCGGCACAGTCCTGCCTATGCCAAAGAGGACCCCAAGCCACAGGAGGGGTTGTTGAGGGGCACCCCAGGCCCCTCCAAGGAAGTGCTTCGGGTGGTGGGTGAGAGTGGTGAGCCTGTGAAGGCCTTTAAGTGTGAACACTGCCGCATCCTCTTTCTGGACCATGTCATGTTCACCATCCACATGGGTTGCCATGGCTTCAGAGACCCTTTTGAGTGCAACATCTGTGGTTACCACAGCCAGGACCGGTACGAGTTCTCTTCCCACATTGTCCGGGGGGAGCATAAGGTGGGCTAGTGACTTCTCCCGGTATCCCCACCCTCAGTCCACCACTCCACTGTCCCACCTACAGGTGTCTAGCCCTATTCTCATTACAACCAGGAATTTTACATTGTAGCCCTAACCACTGGCCACCTCACTTCACACTTGACTCTGACCCTTTTCACCTATCCCCTCTCCATGACCAGTTTCAGCATTGTGATGGAACAGGTCTTTTGCTTATATTTTTCCTTCTACTAAACTTCTCTTATCCCAGCATCTTTGCTATTTATTAATGTTTTTTTTGTTTTTGTTTTTGTTTGTTTTTTGCATTTTGCCTTTTTAAACTTATGGCAATCTCTCACTACTCCTTAACTCTCGTACCCACAGCTCCCTCCTCCTCAAAGCCCAATTTTTTTTTTTGTGGATCCAGCATCCTCCAACAGCCCCAGGGGTCAGAAGCTCTTCTTCATACTAAGAGACTTTGAGCTTCTTGCTTTATTCCTTACCCTTGTTTATCTGATTCTTCACTTTTGATGCTGATACCTCCCGATGGCCCTACCTTAGCTCTGTGGCATTATTATCTCCTCTCTGGGACCCTTCAACCTGGTACTCCATACCTCTCGTGCCCTCTCACTTTAGGCAGCTTGCACTATTCTTGAAAGAAGAATTTCCTTATTTGGCAGTAGGAGGGGCTGGAGAAATTCTCCCCAGGCACTGTGGACTGAGGGTCCTCTTGATCTCCCGGGGAACATGAGCTCCCTAAAGCCTACATTCAGGATCTCCCTCCAGGATGTGATATAGCTCTTCCCTCTCCCCAGCCCACCCCTCAACACTGCTCTGGTCTCTTCAACTTGCCACTCTACTAGGTGGTGGCTTTTCTCCTTGGAATGCCCCCATTTTATATTCTCAGGGGCCAAAGCTAGGTCTGCAACCCTCTGTCTCTGACACACTGGGAGCTGCAGGTGCCTAGTTGAGAACCAGGGCATGAGAAGGGGGTGGGTAGAAATCTCCTCCACCTCTCAGACTTCTTCACTCTAGTGACCTTCCTAGGCTCTCAGGGACTCCTCTGTCCCCGTCCTATGAGAAACTGGTGGGTTGCTGCACAATGACCAGGGGTCGCTCAGCCCCATCAGTCATGCTGCCTTCTTCCTCTCCCTTCCAGCAGGATTCACCCTCTCATTCCCAGGCTCCTGGGCCCTGTTATTATCAGTGGCAGGGAGAAAGGGGTGTCTCTTATCTCACTTTGAATTTTCAGTATAACCAAAAATTGTCCCAGGATGAACAACAACATGTATGTGCCCATCACCCATTCTACCCTTGTTCCAGCAAGAATGGGATGGTCACAGTTAACTGGGAGTCATCCTTCACTGCCGCTCCAGACACAGGGCAGGAGGGGAACTCTTCCCTGGCGGCTGCAGAGACCCCTGGCTATTTTGGATAACCAAGGATTCATGAGAACAGGCAGGAGAAGGCATAGCTCCACTGCATGTGGAGGTCTCTTTCTACAAAGAGCTCCCTGCCAAGGCCACAGCCATCCAACTCTCTGCTTCGACATTCAAACCAAAGGCTGTTTTTCTATGTTTAAAGAAAAGAAGAAAAAAAAGAAAAAAAGAAAAAACCAAACACAGCACCTCATAAGTTATAATTCTTGGTCCTCTCTCCTTTATCTCCCTTCCCCTTCCATCTTTCTTTCCACATGCCCTCTCCTTATTGGCTCTCTGCCTCTCCTATTTTTCTTACTCCCTTTCAGGGATATTGTGGGGGATAGTGAAGGGTGGACTAAGAATCAGATCCTGGGATTGGGGCTCTTAAGGATTCTAGGAAGAGTCTACTTTACCCTGTTGTAGAAAGGAGGGAAAAAGCTTTCTCCTCTTCTTCCTTTTCCTCCTGCATTATGTGGTTTCCCCCTAGAGAACCAGATTGGCAGGGAGAGGCTTTGTGGGGTATTCTTCCTCCTTGACAATGTAGCAATAAACAGGTACTGCCAAGGGCAGAGAATGGGGAGTCAGCTCCAAAGGGAGTGGTCCCTAGAGAAGGGAAGGGTCTTCTCAACAGAACCCTTGGTCTAGCTCCTTGTCCAGGATGGCAGTAGAGCAGAGGTTAGTATCTGGGCTTCTCCTAAACTATTCTGGCTATTGAGCCCCTCCCCATTAGACTTGCCCCTCCCACCTCTTCTGTGTCTCCTGTGTATTTGGGGATACCTTATAAGGACTAGTCCCTTCTGGGGTATCAGAGCCTTAGAGTGCTCCGTCCCTCCTCTAGTCAGCCTTAGCACCTGTCACCTCCCAGAACATGAAAGACTATACTCTGAGGCTATCCCCCATGCCCATGAGAGCAGAGATTGGAAGGGCAAGACCAGGTGCTAAGGAGGAGAGAGAGGGGCATCCTGTCTCTCCACCATCACTGCACTTTAACCAGGGTCTTAGGTACAAAATCCTACTCCTCAGAGCCTTCCAGCTCTGGAACCTCAAACATCCTCATGCTCTCTCCCAGCTACTTTTGCATAAAAAAGGTAAAGAAAAAGAAAAGGAAAAAAATAACAAAACACACCAAAACTCACATGGAGAAAAGAGGTGTTTTCTTTTTTATTGCTATTCAAAACCTTAACATCATAGATAAAAAGGGGGGAGAAAGAATTTCTAAACAGACACTTTTCCAGACCTTTGTTTTTGTGTGTGTCAGTGTCCAAGCTGCAGATGGAATTTTGTAATACTTCTGGCAGCTCTTTCCTTGTGTATATAATATATATATATATTTTTAATCAGAAATTATGGAGATCAAAAATAAAACACAGAAGCAAGTGCAATACCACCTCTCTCCTTCTCCCCCAGGGTTCCCTTTGTAGCCTATTTGGTGTCTCTTTTGACCCTTGCCTCTTCACCTCTTCTCTCTTCCTCTGGTTCTTACCTGCCCTCCTCTCCCCTTTTTTAAAGAGTTTTTCTCCTTTCTCAAAGGGAGTTAAACTAGCTTTTGAGACTTATTGCAAAGCATTTTGTATATGTAATATATTGTAAGTAAATATTTGTGTAATGGAGATATACTACTGTAAGTTTTGTACTGTACTGGCTGAAGGTCTGTTATAAATAAACATGAGTAATTTAACACCCCTGGTTGTTCTTGCAGACTCCTGTTGCCTTGCTTTTCTTCTGGGAGGGAGACAGACCTCATACCAAGTATTTATCAGTTTAGGATGTGGACAAATCTAAGATTAAGAAGAAACCAGACCAGACCATTCAAGCTGTTGGTACAGAAGAAAAGAATTTTTGGCCTAGGCCTGGCATGGTGGTGCATATCTCTAACCCAGCACACCCACTCGAGAGGCAGAGGTAGAACTGTCACAAGTTTGAGGCCAGGCTGATTTACAAAGATACACATACTTTACATAGAACAGCCAGGGCTACATAGCAAGATCCTGTCTAAAAAGCAAAAGGTAAACATACTTTAGTCTAGAATGGAAGAGAAGAGGGTTTGCCTACCAAGTGTGTCTTCAGGATGGGAGACAGCATAACTTGCTTATCTATACAAAGCAGAGAGTCATCAGACATGTCAAATACTTATGTAGAACACATCTTATGGCCAGGGAGACTTAAGTTACAATAACATGAAAGATGGTAATGATAGGATCTACTACTTGAACATCTCATAAATGCCAAGCACTAAGCCAAGTGTCCATTAATTGGAAAAACACGACAAAGGCATGATCACAATTATTGGTGAAGAAACATAAGACCAAGAAGCTGGATACAGTGGCCCCTGTTATCCTCATGGAAACAAAGGTAGAGAAGGATAGTGCATAAGAGGACAATCTGGGCAGCATAGCAAGACTGTGGGTGGGGCAAGCATGCCACAGCAAGTGTGTGGAGCTCAGATAACTTTCAGGAGTCAGTTCTTGCCTTCCACTTTGTTGAGGTAGGGTCTCTTGTTCCTGCCATACTTCTCCAGACTAGCTGGCCTGTCCTTCAAGTCTCCTGTCTCAGCCTCCCATCTTTCCCATCTCAACATAGCCGTCCTGAGATTACAGTTGTGGGCCAGGTTTTTTTTTCATGAGTTCTGGGGATCAAACTCCAGTCCTCAAGCTTGTAGATCTAGTGCCTTTACCCATGGAGCCATCTCCATGGCTACATGATCACTCCTGAATTATATTCCTAATCTAGTGCTTGGTAGGTGGAGGCAGGAATATTAGAAGTTCAAGGTTGGGGCTGAGATGGCTCAGTGATTAAGAGCACTGGTTGCTTTTGCAGAGCACCCAAATTCAGTTCCCAGCAACCACATGGCAGCTTATAACCTTCTGTAACTCCAGTTCTAGGTGACCCTATACCCTCTTCTGGCCTCCAAAGGCATTGCATGACATGGGTGCACTTACACGCAGGCCAGACATATAAAGTAAAAATTAATTAAAAAGAAGTTCGGGGTTGGAGAGATGGCTCAGCGGTTAAGAACACTGGTTGTTCTTGCAGAAGACCTGGATTCGTATCCCAGCACCCACATGGCAGCTAACAACTGTCTGTAACTCCAGTCCAAGGGGATCCGACAGCCTCTTCTGTCCTCCATGGGCATTGAACGACACGGGTGCACTTACTTACATGCAGGCAGTACACTCATACACATAAAATAAAAATAATAAAGAAAAAAAAGGTCATCCTTGGTTTCATAGTGAATTAATGAGTTCGAGAACAGCTTGGACTACAAGACCTGGTCTCTAAATAAACAAAGTGAGAATAACTAGATCTAACTTACAGACTTCTTGTGAGTTAAATAAGTTAATACAAAGTACCTTCTCAGCGCCTCCCTTTTAACTCAGAACAAAACATAAAGATGGATAAAAAAAACATTTGTACCATTTGGAGCTTTTATCTTTACTGGAAGGAAGATTTTAATTTCTTCCCAGGTTTTTCGTTTTGTTTGTTTTGCTTTTATTGTTTTTTTTGTTTTGTTTTGTTTTGTTTCTTTTTGAGACAGGGTCTCCCTGTAGCCCCAGCTGGCCTGGAACTCACTATTTAGATCAGGCTGGCCTCTAATTCACAGAGATCCGCCTGCCTCTGCCTCCGGAGTGCTGGGAATAAAGGCGTGTGCCACCATGCCCAGCCTTGTTGCTTTTTTGAGGCAGGGTCTCCTGTAGCTCGAGCTGGTCTGGATCTCACTATGTATTCCAGGCTGGGCTCGAACTCACAGTGATCCACCTGCTTCTGTGGATCTTCTGAGTGCTGAGATTAAAGGTGTGCGTCACCACGCCCAGGCCAGATCATATATGTCTTACTCAAACCCAGTAGCCCAAAGTTTCAAAGCCATGAATCCAGACAGCATCCACCTTTAAGCTACGGACTGGGGCCTGAGACGGCTGCGCTCCGAACTACAACTCCCACCATGCACTTCTTTCATACTGGCCTCTAATCATAGTGAATGAACGCCCTGCGGCCTAATGCTGGATAACTTCCGCTCCCGGCGACACGGAAACCGGATATCATAGAACCATGAATTACTTCCGGGGTATGGTTCTTGATCAAACGAATGACATTAATTTTCTTCCGCCAGCAGGTTAAATAGTCCCTTAGGCACACTGTTCCACAAATAAACTCCAGGAACGGCCTCACACCCTACATTTCGGCGGAAACGCTAACTAATTAGGTAAATTCGACTACAGTAACCGCTAAGAGTAATTCGAGGTAAAGGTCCCCAGGGTTCTTCCGGCGTGAGCGTAGGGATCTCGTGCTATATAAGAGCGCCCGGCCGGACACCGGATCCTCTTTCGGGTCCTGGCTCCAAGATGGTGAGTCCGCCGCTTGGGGCGTGCGTGGGGCCGGGGCCAGAGGGTCTCTGTTGGACCGCGGGCCGCTGGTGGCCGTGAGTGGGGCTCAGCCTGGAGGTGCTCTGCATGGAAACTACGGCGGGCGGGGGGGCGGGGAGGGGCTGGGGCCGAGCGACCCGGGCCTGTTCTCACGGGGGCCTCCGTCTGTAGACCAAGAAAAGAAGAAACAACGGTCGCGCCAAAAAGGGCCGCGGCCATGTGCAGCCCATTCGCTGCACGAACTGCGCCCGATGCGTGCCTAAGGATAAGGCCATTAAGAAGTTCGTTATTCGGAACATCGTAGAGGCCGCCGCCGTAAGGGACATTTCTGAAGCTAGTGTCTTCGACGGTAAGCACCCTATAACCGTGTACTGTAAAAGGATAATCGTGCCCAAGGCCTCTTCCCCAGTGGATTCCTGTTGTAGGACTTGATGTGTTTCCTTAGTGCCTCGGGAAATTTCCACGGGCCTCTTAAAATTGGCATTAAAAGCCGGGCGTGGTGGCGCACGCCTGTAGTCCCAGCACTTGGGAGGCGGAGGCAAGCGGGTCTCTGAGTACTAGGACAGCCTGGTCTACATAGTGATTTTCAGGACAGCTGGGGCTACAGGGAGATCCTGCTTCAAAAAGACAAAAAAAAAAAAAAAATTGCATTAAGAAGGAAGGGCGTACTTAAAGGTTTAACTTTTTCTTTTGTGGTGCCAGGGTCGGGGTTCATGCATGGTAGGTCAGCACCTTACTGCTTACTGTATCCCCATCTCTCCTTGCTCGGGAGGCCATAATCCAGGAAACTTTCCTAAAGAAATAGAAATGTGGTAAACTTACTGAATTACTGAACAAAATATAAGTGGTTGTAAAATGTGCTAAGGCTGGGTTTTGCAAATAAAAGGCAATCTAGTTTGGTAGATACGTAGTTTATCTTGTATTCCTTTGGCCGGAAGAAGCATAGTCATTAGAGTTGAGGGGACTATCACCAGAATTGAGTTCTGACTTCCCAACTGTGTGGCCTACTCTGGGTTCAAACTACCTGATTGCATGCAACCTCAGCCTTTTGGGTAGCATTCCAGGCAAACTTACCCCTAAGATCTGGACTCTCATTTAGGATATGAATTTGATTTCCATGGTGGCAAGATGGGTTTGTTATTGGTGACTGTTCATGCATTGCTTAGTTTCAGAACTTGAACACTTACCTTTGTAGTGAATGTTTTACGGATGTGCCTGACATTATTAATAGATACTTCATTGCTGTGTGTGATGCCATGGCTTGGAGGTCGGTGGACAACTTGTGAGAGTGTCTCCTTCCGTTACAGAGTAAGGAGATCAAACTTAGGCAGGCTTGGCAGCAAGGCTCATCTAACTGACTCAAGTCACTTTAACCAGTAGAGTGAGCGAGAAGGAATAATGTAAGTTGGGTATAGAATACTTGACATTGCTTTCCTGCTTGTCAGCTTACGTGCTTCCCAAGCTATATGTGAAGCTGCATTACTGCGTGAGCTGTGCCATTCATAGCAAGGTGGTCCGGAATCGATCCCGCGAAGCCCGGAAAGACCGAACACCTCCACCACGATTTAGACCTGCTGTGAGTATTTTTTGCTTTTCTTCAGCTAGTTATTTTTTGAGGTCTTAGTCTGGTAAGGCACATCTAACATGTTTGTTTCTAGACTTTTGGTGATTTTCACTTTTCACTGGGATGGTATGATCTTTCTATATGAATTGACTTGCCCTGCATTTATTTATAGCCTAAATATATGTTAGTGATGGGCATGGGTGACAGGGTTCTTCTGGGGAGAGGTTTTTGGATTTGTTCTTGTTCTAGGAACCAAACCTGAGGCTTTACATGCTAGGCAAGTGTTCTACCACTGAATTGCATTTTTTTTCTTCTAGGGTGCTGCCCCACGACCTCCACCGAAACCCATGTAAAGACCTGGCTTCACGAGGACAGAAGAAAAATCATCTTCCAGGAAAATAAAATTGAAATTTTACTTTAGATTATTGCATGTTGTCTGTGCCAGATGTAAGTTGTGTTTTTTGGGATCTTTGGTCTTAAAGTCTATATATATATTGCTTGTGGAGGCACAGAGCAAGACAACCTGGTGTTCTTTATGACTTCCTACCTTGATTTTTGAGATAGTTGTCTTGCTGGCTAGGCTTGCTGTTGACAGCTCAGTAGAAGGAAATCCAAGATGAGTGAATTCTACATCAGTCAGTGTTATGACAGTTGGACCAAGTTCCTCTCTCTCTGGCCTCTGGGTTTTTGTTTGAGGCAGGGTTTCACTGTAGCCTATGCAGGTGTGGCTACCTTAGTGTTAGGGTTACAGGCGTGAGCCACCACAGCTTCAAGGTGCATGTTTACCTCCCTTAGTTCAGAGATTAGGTATTTTTGTTTTTGCACTGACTGGGGAGGGAGCTTGCAGCAGTCCATGAGCTAAGTGCAGAGCACATCTACATTCCTAGCACTCAGATTGAGGCATGTGATCTTGGTAGGGTGCTCGTGTTGAAGCCCAGGGTTCCATTCCCAATACAGAATAACAATCAGATGTGCACACCTGTAATTACAACACTTGGGAGTTGGAGGCAGCAGCATCAAGGAGGTCAAGGCAGCCCTGAGATAACTGAGACTGTCATAAAAACATTTAAGAGATGGCTCAGTAGTTAATAGCACTAGATGCTCTTGAAGAGGACCTGGGTTCGATTCCCAGCACTCACATGGTGGTTCCTTAACTCCTCCATTGGTCCGGCAATCTGACATGGATGCACTTACACATGCAGGCAATACACATAAGGGGCTAGAGATAGCTCGGCTGATAAGAGCACTGACTACACTGCAGAGAATTTGATTCCCAGCACCCACATGCTGGCAAACAGCTCCAGTTCTCAGGAATCTGACACCCTCTTCTGACCTTGGAGGTTGCACAGGTAGGTAGAACACAGATGCACCTACCTACATGCAGGTAATACTTTAAATGCTGTTTATGGTAGTGCACTTGGGAGGCAAGGCTGGCTAGGGCTACAAGGAAGCCCTGTCTCAAAAATAATTTATCAAAACTGGCAGGAGTTAGAAATTATAACCTCTACCTGTGACCTTTTAGCCAAACAGCACTTCCCAACTCCTGAAGGCCTTCAAAATAGTGCTACAAACATGGCTATTACGATCTTTCAGGTTGGAATGGGAATATGTGTTCTACCACAGCCATACCCCAAAGTTCATTTTTAATTTGTGAGTGTAGCAGTCAGGAAAGCTTGGTAAGAGTTGGCTCTCCCTTAACCAATGGTCCTGGGCATTAGCAGGAAAAGCACCTTTGCCCACTGAGCCGTGTTGGTGGTTCCCCTGATTTATTTATTTTTTGGCCTTTGAAGCAGGGTCTTCATGTGGCCCCAGCTGTCCTGAAACTCACTAGACCAGGCTGGCCATGAACTCACAGAGATACACCTGCCTCTGCTCCCAAGTGCTGGGACTGCAGGTGTGCACCACCATGCCTGGCTTCCCTGATTAATTTTTAAAGACTTTATGTCCTATGAGTGTTTTGCCTCTTAAGTGCACCTGTGTGAACAGTCCCCACAGGTCAGAAGAGGGCGTCAGATCCCCTGGAAATGGAGTTAAAAGTGATGATTAGCCACCATGTGGTTGCTGGGAACTGGACTTGTGTCCTCTGATAGACTACCAGTGCTCTTTAATTGGCTGAGCCAAGTCTCCAGCCCTGAGTCTCACACGTTAAAACCATAATTTGCATAATTTTGTTTTGTTGGTCTTACTATGTAGTCCTGTCTGGCTTGACATTGTAGATCAGACTGGCTTCAATGGAACTAAGATCCTACCTCTGCTGGGACTAAAGATTATGCACCATTGGACTGAGTTTTAATTGGTGATTTGCATCATGTAAATTGCATCTCAACAGAGTTATTAAAGTATGGCTGGGAGTGGTGACCTGCAGAGGTAGGCAGGTCATTGAGCTCGCGGCCAGCTTGGTCTACATAGCAAGTTCCAGGTCAGCTGGGGCTACAGGGAGACCCTGTTTCAAAAAAAAAAGTGATACACTTCTATAATCCCAACAATTGGGAAGTGCAAGCAGGAGGATCAGGAGTTCATGGTCGTTCTTAACCACATAGGTCAAGGCCAACCTGGGCTACTTAAGGCCTTGTCTCAAAACAAGAAGAAAGTGGTAATCCATTGGAGAGGTTTTTGTAGTGCTAGAGAGCAAACACAAAGCCTGTGCATACTAGGCAAGTGTCCCACCACTGAGTTATATCCCAGTCCTCGGTTTTATAAGAGTTGTCCTATGTAGCTCACACTGACCCTGAACAGGCTCTGTAACTCAGGATGGTGTCCAGGTGAGAATCATCCCACCTCTGCCTCACAGATACCGTAATTACTGGCGTGTACCACCGTGCCTAGGGTTTGGAAAGTTCTGAGCAATACGACAATGCCAAAGGTGGTACACAATTTGAGAAATTCTCATCTAGCATTTCAGAGGGAACTGAAGCATAATAAGCCATTCTGGGGCACTGGCCACACACCTATAATCCTAGCACTTGGGAGGCAGAAGCAAAAAAGTACATTTACCCTCAGTCTGGGTTACATGGCAAATTCCTGGAAAGAAAGGATGTCTTACATATGTAAGACTTAAGAGGGAAAGGGAGAGAGAGACAGGAGGAAGAAAACATAAGGGCATCTTTTGGAAGGAGAAGAATGCTGGAGAGATGGCCCAGTGTTGATAGCACATACTGATATTCTAGAGGATGGGAGTTTGATTCCAGCACTCAACATTGAGCAGCTCACAACTCCCTGTAACTCCAACTTGAGAATCCAATGCCTCTTCTAACCTCGGGCACTGCACTCATGCTCAGATAATTAAAATACTAAAATATAAAAATGGAGAGAAACAGGGCAGTGGCTGGAGGAAGAAGCTGGAAGGAGAGAGGATTTTATAAAATGATAGAAAATAGCAGCATGTATGCTGAAGGATATGTCCCTGCACAGTCAAGAAAGGGTGACTAGTGTGCAGATGGAGACAACTGCTGGACAGGGCATGTGCAGGCATCTAACAGGAGAGAAGCAATATACAGTCCCAAGTGCAGGTAGTTAGCTACTTTTGTTTCTCAGTGAAGTAGGAGGCAAGGTCAAGAGTTTAGAGGATATAGGTCTGAGAAGAGGAGAAACATCAGGATAGGCATCCAGGAGATTGTGAAAGGGAATGATGTAGGATGTGATAATCCACCAGCACTTGACACTGGAGGGCAGGAATTTAATGTCACACCTACTGTGGCTGAGTACATTGTTTTTCTTGAGACAGGGTCTGGCCTGGAACTCACTATGTAGACTAGGCTGACCTCAAACTCGGAGAAATCCTCCTGTCTCTGCCTCCCGAGTGCTGGGATTATGCATGCACCATGTCTGTCAGGTCGAGTGCTTTTTGTAAATTATTCTTACAGGTACAAAACCAAAGTGGACAGGGAATTGAATTGAACCAAAACTGAGTTAACTAAATGAATATGATGGAGGGGGGCAAAGGAACTGACAATGCACTCAGTCAAGGGAGCAATTATTATGCCTGACTGTGAAACTTAAAATGGATGAGGAGGAAAAGTCAAACATCAGGAGAATGAGGTCCAATGAAAGGTGATCTGATCAAGGGGTTCAAGTTCTAAGCAAGGTGTGGTGGCACATGCCTATGAAGCTAGTACTTGGGAATCTGAGGCAGGCACATTTCCAGGAACTTAAGGATAGGTTGAGCTACATAGTACCAGCAAGACCCTGTTTCAAAAAACAACACATCTATTCACGATTCAAGGACTTTCTTTTCCCCTTAGAGATAAGAGTTCTGCAATTTGGGAGTCTTTTAGATAGACCCACTGAAGGGGTACTCCAGTTGTCTCACCCTGCATCCCTGTTCAGCATGGAAGAAGCCAGAGCGGTCAGCATCCCTATTCCCTATTGGCAATTTGGGTAACCCCTTCAGAGGATGGCATAATAAGAATAGGAGGTAGGAATTGGCTAGGCAGTTAGGGTAAAAAGACCCAAAAGTAGCCAGTTTCTTGGCTAAAAGTCAAAATGTCCTTGGGCTTCTTAGAATACTCTGTTCCAGAGGCCAAAAATGTCAAAAGTATTTGGGAGCTTGTATCTAATCCTTAAACGATTTTAGGGTTACCTCTTCAGAGGGGAGAATGTTAGAGTACCCAAAAGCCTCATAAAAATAAATAAATGGCTGAAGAGATGGCTCAGCGGTTAAGATCACTGCTCTTGCAGAGGACCCAGGTTCGATTCCCAGCACCCACATCGTGGCTACAAACTATCCTTAACTCCAGTTCCAGGGGAATCTGAAACTCTCTTCTGACCTCGGTGGCATTGCATGACACAGGTGTACTCACATACATGCAGGCAGTACACTCATATGATGGACGGATGGATGGCAAAGAATAACTGGAATACTGGATGTGGGAGATGAAGGAAAGAGTATGATTCCTGAAGGGTTTTTCTGTTAGTTTCGTTTTTCCAAAAGCAGGTCTGAATAAGTTTCCTACTCTTCTTTCTTATTCCTCCACATCTCCTGGCTGGAGTACAGGATGCTCCATGTTTATGGGATGGAAATACAAAGACTAACTTACACTGGACCTCTGACATCGCTGGAAGCAGAAAGGAAGTAAAGGACTGAGGTGAGGAATATACCACAGGCATGCCACATTCATCTGTTCTGCTATTAAAATTAAATCTTGGAGCTGGAGAGATGGCTCAGCGGTTAAGAGCACTGACTGTTCTTGCAGAAGACCCGGGTTAAAATCCCAGCACCCACATGGCGGCTAACAACAGTCCGTTACTCCAGTCCCAAGGGAATCCGAAGCCTCTTCTGACCTCCACGGTATTGCACAACACGGGTGTACTCATGTACATGTAGGCAATACATTTGTACACATAAACTTAAAATTTTTTTAAAAAATATTTTTTGAAAAAGAAATTAGACTCTGGGGAAAAGGAGATGGAGGATAAGAAAA